CGATCGGATTGCTATTACTTTGTGGAACGTTTCGCCGAATGGTTCACGGAATATCGTCGTTCTTGTGGCGAAATTTGTCCCTTAGGAATGAATGGCAAAGCTAGAGTGGGAGCTGGCAAAAGCTGAAAAATCAGGACATGATTTCTAAACTGCCACCACTCCTTATTTTCAGGCCCACCTACACAAATCTTATATCAAAACGTTCAGCTATCCCTGCTGCCACTAAACATGTCAACGGCTAAGCCATAGTCCTGATAGTTTTCACAATATGACCATTTGTTTGCAACCAGCGCCGTCCATTGACATTCATTGAAACTTCACTCTGCAAAGCTCAAATTTGAAGTGCAATTTCTAAACTGCGACTGTGCCTTCAATTTTAATACTTCAGAGACATACTATGCATCAAAATGTAGGTCTGGTCTTGTGATTCTCACAATATAAAGCTCTTCACTGTAGGAGTTATACTTTTTAAGATACGACCGTTTGAAGATGGCAACCACCAAAATACTCTGACCTGTGTCAAGCTGCAGCAGCAAGTGATGTCATAGACAGGGCCTTTTGAACACCTGCTAATGTTTTTATAAATGTATGGTGTAATGTAACTGTGCAACAACGTTGCAATTGAATGTGCTAGACTACTGGTTGAGGCAAGAACACTTCACACAATTTCCCCTGAAATTGTAGCTTTTCTAGTTATTATTATTGTGTGTGTATTATTATAGCAAAATTTGCCACTAACTCCTCCCACAGTTTTTTTACACTGCATAGACCAAAATTTACCAAAGCGTGCAGATTGTTCCCCGGTCGGATTGCTATTGCTTTATTGGAGCGTTTAGCGAATGGATTTCACCGGAATATCGTCGTTTTGTGGCGCCAATTTGTCTCATAGGAATGAATGGCAAAGCTAGAGTGGGAGCTGCCAAAAGCTGAAAAATCAGGACATGATTTCTAAACTGCCACCACTCCCTTATTTTCATGCCCACCTACACAAATCTTATATCAAAACGTTCAGCTATCCCTGCTGCCACTAAACATGTAAACGGCTAAGCCGTAGTCCTGACAGTTTTCACAATATGACCATTTGTTTGCAACCAACGCCGTCCATTGACATTCATTGAAACTTCACTCTGCAAAGCTCAAATTTGAAGTGCAATTTCTAAACTGCGACTGTGCCTTCAATTTTAATACTTCAGGGTCATACTATGCATCAAAATGTAGGTCTGGGTCTTGTGATTCTCACAATATAAAGCTCCTCACTGTAGGAGTTATAGTTTTTAAGATACGACCGTTTGAAGATGGCAACCGCCAAAATACTCTGACCTGTGTCAAGCTGCAGCAGCAAGTGATGTCATAGACAGGGCCTTTTGAACACCTGCTAATGTTTTTTATAAATGTATGGTTTTAATGTAACTGTGTGCAGCAGATTTGCAATTAAATGTGCTTCTTAGACACTGGTGGAGGCAAGAACACTTTCACACAATTTCCCCAGAAATTTGTAGCTTTTCTAGTTATTATTATTATTAAGTGTTCTTGCATATGAAGACCACTTAATGTTATCTCACATATATATTATTATTATTGTGTGTAAGTGTTCTTGCATATAAGACCATATGTTATCTACATATATATATTATTATTATTCTTGTACATGGCAAATTTGCCACCCTAACTCCTCCACAGTTTTTACACTACATAGACAAAATTTACCAAAGCGTGCGATTGTTCCCGATCAGTTGCTATTACTTTGTGGAGCGTTTGTGGAGAAATGGTTCCGCGGAATGTCGTCGTTCTTGTAGGCGCCAATTTGTCCCATAGGAATGAATGCTTAAGCTAGAGTGGGAGCTGGCAAAGCTGAAATATCAGGACATGATTTCTAAACTGCCACCGCTCCCTTATTTTCAGGCCCACCTACACAAATCTTATATCAAAACGTTCAGCTATCCCTGCTGCCACTAAACATGTCAACGGCTAAGCCGTAGTCCTGATAGTTTTCACAATATGACCATTTGTTTGCAACCAACGCCGTCCATTGACATTCATTGAAACTTCACTCAAGCCAGATCAAACTTGAAGGGCAATTTCTAAACTGCGACTGTGCCTTCATTTTTAATACTTCAGAGACATACTATCAAAATGTAGGTCTGGGTCTTGTGATTCTCACAATATAAAGTTCTTCGCTGTAGGATTTATAGTTTTTAAAATACGACCGTTTGAAGATGGCAACCGCCAAAATACTCTGACCTGTGCCAGGCTACAGCAGCAAGTGATGTCATAGACAGGGCCTTTTATACACCTGCTAATGTTTTTAAAAATGTATGGTTTAATGTAACTGTGCAACATCGTTGCAATTAAAAGTGCTATATAAATAATAACAGTTACTCCGCCCACTCCAGTTGTAGACTACTGGTGGAGGCAAGAACACTTCACACAATTTCCCCAGAAATTGTAGCTTTTCTAGTTATTATTATTATTATTATAGCAAAATTTGCTACCCTAACTCCTCCCACAGTTTTTACACTACATAGACAAAAATTTACCAAAACGTGCAGATTGTTCCCGATCGGATTGCTATTACTTTGTGGAACGTTTCGCCGAATGGTTCACGGAATATCGTCGTTCTTGTGGCGAAATTTGTCCCATAGGAATGAATGGCAAAGCTAGAGTGGGAGCTGGCAAAAGCTGAAAAATCAGGACATGATTTCTAAACTGCCACCACTCCCTTATTTTCAGGCCCACCTACACAAATCTTATATCAAAACGTTCAGCTATCCCTGCTGCCACTAAACATGTCAACGGTTAAGCCGTAGTCCTGATAGTTTTCACAATATGACCATTTGTTTGCAACCAACGCCGTCCATTGACATTCATTGAAACTTCACTCTGCAAAGCTCAAATTTGAAGTGCAATTTCTAAACTGCGACTGTGCCTTCAATTTTAATACTTCAGAGACATACTATGCATCAAAATGTAGGTCTGGGTCTTGTGATTCTCACAATATAAAGCTCTCACTGTAGGAGTTATAGTTTTTAAGATACGACCGTTTGAAGATGGCAACCACCAAAATACTCTGACCTGTGTCAAGCTGCAGCAGCAAGTGATGTCATAGACAGGGCCTTTTGAACACCTGCTAATGTTTTTATAAATGTATGGTTTAATGTAACTGTGCAACAACGTTGCAATTAAATGTGATAGACTACTGGTGGAGGCAAGAACACTTCACACAATTTCCCCAGAAATTGTAGCTTTTCTAGTTATTATTATTATTATTATAGCAAAATTTGCCACCCTAACTCCTCCCACAGTTTTTAAACTACATAGACCAAAATTTACCAAAACGTGCAGATTGTTCCCGATCGGATTGCTATTACTTTGTGGAACGTTTCGCCGAATGGTTCACGGAATATCGTCGTTCTTGTGGCGAAATTTGTCCCATAGGAATGAATGGCAAAGCTAGAGTGGGAGCTGGCAAAAGCTGAAAAATCAGGACATGATTTCTAAACTGCCACCACTCCCTTATTTTCAGGCCCACCTACACAAATCTTATATCAAAACGTTCAGCTATCCCTGCTGCCACTAAACATGTCAACGGCTAAGCCATAGTCCTGATAGTTTTCACAATATAATCATTTGTTTGCAACTAACGCCGTCCATTGACTTTCATTGAAACTTCACTCTGCAAAGCTCAAATTTGAAGTGCAATTTCTAAACTGCGACTGTGCCTTCAATTTTAATACTTCAGAGACATACTATGCATCAAAATGTAGGTCTGGGTCTTGTGATTCTCACAATATAAAGCTCTTCACTGTAGGAGTTATAGTTTTTAAGATACGACCGTTTGAAGATGGCAACCACCAAAATACTCTGACCTGTGTCAAGCTGCAGCAGCAAGTGATGTCATAGACAGGGCCTTTTGAACACCTGCTAATGTTTTTATAAATGTATGGTTTAATGTAACTGTGCAACAACGTTGCAATTAAATGTGCTATGTAAATGATAAGTTACTCCGCCCACTCCAGTTGTAGACTACAGGTGGAGGCAAGAACACTTCACACAATTTCCCCAGAAATTGTAACTTTTCTAGTTATTATTGCCCTCTCTCAGACAGGTCTTTGGTGAACTCCTGTCCTTATCCAGTTTTGAGCAATTCATCAAAAGTCAGACTCCCTCATCCCTGTGTGTTGCAATAGGCATACCAGACAAACATATTCACACAAAGAGGTTACTATCCCAATCATTTTAGACTACAACAATAAAAGTTTCAAATTTAAAAAAATAATTACAAAAACATTGGGCTATTCTGAAGCGGAAGACATTTTAAATAAACTGCTACCAGAAAAAACATATATCGTGTTAAGGGGGGCCCCCAACCTAAAAACTTGCCTCACGAAAAACTATACAAAAAAAAAAAACAGTTCCAACACCCCTTCTTTCCTCAACCAACAAAGGATTCTACAAATGCAAAAAATGCTTGGCATGCAGTAGTACCAACAACGAACACACTAAACTTACAACTTTTATATCAAAATACTCCCCTTATGAACACAAAATAAAGGATTTTATTACATGCAATTCCAAGAATGTAATTTGATTAAATTAAAGTTTCAGTCCGTATAGAGTTTGTACATATGACTAGAAATAAAGCAGCTTCTACACAATATTTGAAAGTTTAACGAGTGCACTGCGATGTATATATGCACATATAAACACTTAAACGCAGTGTATCACTTACAGAACTTGGTCCAATCCAAAAGTTTTCTTGCTGTACATATTTAACATTTTCGTAAACCCCTCTATTCCTCAGCACCTGAGAAAAGAAAAACTATAGATTATCAAAAAATCCTTTTTTTGACTTACAAAGTAAATTTAATTCAACAAGACAATTGAAGAATTAGACAAGTTCTATTGTCAGAGAAATCATAATGAAAACCATGGACAAATACAACATAGCTTTGCCATAGCCAGATGTAGAAAAACATCAGTCTTGAATTCATAAATTCACCTTAGCCTCTCACCTGAAGCTTTTCTGCTGCTCTGTTTTGTAATGAACAACACACATCAATTGTGCATTTGGTTGTAATTTGGTTGGTTACTTAAACCTGAATTTCTGATGGCTCCCTCTGACGACTCTTTGCTTCTTCAGGTTTTTATAAGCCCTTAAATACATTTATAAAAAAAAATCTTATTCATATGTCCCTCAAGGTCCCAGATTTAATATTTTTAGATAAACTTTTAAACATTTTCGTTTTTTTAAATAATAACATATCAAAAAGTGTATCACAAATATATCAACATATCAAAATATTTCAAATTTAAAATAATTTTAAAAGTTTATCCAAAAATATTAAAGAATTTGAAGTAGCTTATCCAAAAATATTAAAATTGTGTCAAATAGAAGATGGAGAATTGGGAATCCCACAAATGAACAGACTTGTACAAGCATCTCTACTATCT